GGGGGAGAGGGGCGGAGGCTGGGGCGGGGTGGCAGCGTTTGTAAATGGCAAAGTAAGCGCGTGTTGGAGCGGGGAGGGGCGCACACTGATGGATAGGACCCTCCTTCGGCCGCGGCCAGCAATAAACAAGATGCTGCACCGCAGAAGGGTGCAATGGCTGCGACACCAGCATGCTCACCTCGGGGCTGGGGCTCCTAGCCTGCTGGGGGACCTGTGGTTGGCGCCTCTTCGCTCGGTTCCACTGCCGCCCGGCTCGGCAGCGCGAAGGGAGGTCTGCATGCATGGAAGCGGATTGAGGGAATGGGCGGGGGAGAGGGGTGGAGGCCGGGGCGGGGCGGCAGCGTTTGTAAATGGCAAAGTAAGCGCGTGTTGGAGCGGGGAGGGGCGCACACTGATGGATAGGACACTTCTTCGGCCGCGGCCAGCAATAAACAAGATGCTGCACCGCAGAAGGGTGCGAGGGCTGCGACACCAGCATGCTCACCTCGGGGCTGGGGCTCCTGCTGGGGGACCTGTGGTCGGCGCCTCTTTGCTCGGTTCCACTGCCGCCCGGCTCGGCAGCGCGAAGGGAGGCCTGCATGCATGGAAGGGGAGTGCGGGAATGGGTGGGGGAGAGGGGCGGAGGCAGGGGCTGCTTCACCAGCGGAAATGCATTCACCCCCAATGTGACCAGGGAATCCTCATTGGGCTCCATATCCCATAAGCTTATATCTATATCTTCCTGCAAGGTTTGAAGTATCAATAGCCTCAATGGCGAAACAACACTTGTAACGGTCTTGATCTGGTAGGCTACATGCACTGGCATCTTAGCTCGAGTAGAGGACGCATGCTTACCTCCAGCATTACCCCATTTGAGAGTGTAGTACCCGTAGCCACGTCGACCGTGCCATGACACATGTTTCCAGACCTCCAGTCGGTCCCAACGGCGGAGGTAGGCGCGTCCTAAGGGGGCGTGTAAAGGGGCGTACCTAGGTACCCATGCCTACAGTGGGTGGAAGGGATACGTTACAATGCATGCTCACCTGGTGGGCTGGGCTCGTGCATTGCTGTGAGTTTGCTGCTGCATGCAGACTGGGCAAGGTGTTGTTTGCGAGGAGGGTGCAGTTGCTGCGCCATGCATGCTGCTGGATGCACCACCCAATGTTTGCGCCCGAAGCGCCAGTGAAACCGTGGGAGTGAAGCGTCCTGAAAGCAAGCATACAGCTTAAGCATACACCCTTGAACCGAGTGCCCTGGCTGCAACGTTTGCAAAGGTATTCTTAGCTCACCTTCTTCTTCTTGAGCCAGGGCTTCTGCAACCAGAAATAGTCGCCTACAGCGCCTATCTCGTGGCCCTTAGGCCTTGTCAGCTCTACAAGGTAACTAACAAAGAGGAGCTGAGCTGCTGGGGCGCGCTTCTCCTTCTCCTCCAAGTAGTTACCCACAAACACGTCACCACCCTTGTGAAGAAACGACCTGAACGAGCTCAGAGAGCTGACGTGGGATCCTAGGAGCCCCAACAAGGAGCATTCCTGTAAAGCATGACGGGAGGAGCTTAGCAGACAGGACACACCCAGTGCTGCATTCCAGCAGACAGCTTGCCTTGTCGTCCACTGTTTTCAATTTCATGTTGTATAGGGCGCTCGGACTGGCATCGTCAGGAACATTTGCCTGCCAGCCATCGAATTGGAGCGTCGCTCCCCTCCTCTGAAGCGAGATAACAGCTACTGTGCGATATAGCTCAACACAGACCAAGCTTTTTTCCCTCGTATACTGTATCAGCGTCGCCTGAGCCCTAGAAGCGGCATTGCGAAAACGAGTAACACACGATTCGAACGATGAAGACTGAATATCAACTAAGTAAGATATGTAAAGTTCTTCTATTAGTTGCTTGCGTATATTACATGTCAACGTATCAGGGGTTCATTCTTTGTCGTTCGAATCAGAGGACACTGCATGAAGTTAACGTCCTGAGGCAACACACGATGTATGAAATTGGCAGAACTCTTAGATGCTTTTTTGGTGGAAGGCTCAATACGGCAGGTTGAGCTTGTACGGCGTAACTCGGGTGACGCAGTACAGGACTTTTCAAATGCAAGAACTAGAGGCTAGAGTATGCAATAAAAGCATTTCAACCTCGACTATAGATACTTCTTTCGTTGACGAATTCATGTAGTATGTCCAAATGCCGCGGCGCTTAGGTCAGACATGGGCATTGCCTGCCACAAGTGGGCCCGCCACTTCCGCTTGGCAGGCTTGGCTGCTGGCAGGCCTTGTGGTTTCCTGATATTTGCAGTAACAAGTAATGCAAATGCGGTAGCCGTGACAACTAAGTATTGCTTGTGCAAGCGATGTGTAAATGGAGTGGTCGATCGAAAGGCCGTGAAGCTCAGGTCAAACAGAATGGTTCGTAACCACCTCAAGAGAAATGGTTGCTACGATCCACGTTACAAAAGGATGGAAAGCAGCACCTCGGCTGAAGAGGTCCGAGCCCGTTGTTTTCAAATTTGTCATGGTAAGTACCAAACAACACCAGCATGCAACTTGCTATCGTTTCTTACATGCTTGCTCGCTCATTTGGCAAATGCGGTGGCCCAACATCTTCACGTAGACACTGCCATTGACTCCTTTGGCTCGCCCTGTCCTTATATTGGCTAGATATACTTGTATCCATGTGCATGTGACTCAATTATGACTTTCTAAATCAACAATGTATGTAAATATTCTCAGACCCAAGCTGGGCTTACAACTTAGGCTGCAACTTGCGGCTGGAGGGGGGGGGCTGCGCCCCCCCCCCCTAACCCCCCCCCTCCTTAGCGTCCAGCGTAATCGTGCAGCTGGCGACAAGCCAAGACCAGCCGCAGCCCGGCTTATTGGCCAACGAAAGGCTAATGTTGTAGCGTGCGTGCGGCTGGCTCGTTATCGCGCATCAGTTGGCGACAAGCAAAGACCCAAGCTGGGCTTACAACGTAGGCTGCAACTTGCGGCTGGAGGGGGGGGGCTGCGCCCCCCCCCTACCCCCCCCCCCCCCCCCTTCTAGCGTCCAGCTTAATCGTGCAGCTGGGCTTATTAGCAGACGAAAGCTTGGTGCTTTAGCGTGCTTGCGGCTGGCACGCTATAGCGCCTTGGTTGGCGACAAGCAAAGACCAGCCGCAGCCCGGCTTATTGGCAAACGAAAGGCTGGTGTTTTAGCATGCGTGCGGCTGGCACGTTATAGCCATCAGTTGGCGACAAGCAAAGACCCAAGCTGGGCTTACAACTTAGGCTGCAACTTGCGGCTGGAGGGGGGGGCACGTTGCAGCCTGGTGTGTGCGCCCAACTCGTGTATGAGCTTGTCGCCAACTAATTCACTATGACGTACAAGCCGCACGCACGCACGCTAAAGCACCATCTTCTCTCTTGCCAATAAGCTGGGCTGCGCACGTAAGTTGGGCGCTAGAAGGGGGGGGGGTTAGGGGGGGCGAAGCCCCATCCCCCCCTCCAGCCACACGTTGCAGCCTGGTGTGTGCGTCAACTCGTGTATGAGCTTGTCGCCAACTAATTCACTATGACGTACATGCCGCACGCACGCACGCTAAAGCACCATCTTCTCCCTTGCCAATAAGCTGGGCTGCACCGTAAGTTGTGCGCTAGAAGGGGGGGGGGGGTTAGGGGGGGCGAAGCCCCATCCCCCCCTCCAGCCACACATTGCAGCCTGCACTCTGGGAAAACCAGGGTCCACCCATTCGTAAAATGGGGGTCTACCTTTCCGTATTTTGACCCCATTTTACGGAAGGGTATCTTCCGTAAAGGCGGACAGAGAATACGGAAAGGGATACGAATGGTGGGGAAAGGTTTACGAATTGCCTGTAATGCAGGAGTCCCACGGTTACATGCACTAGAGTGAATGTGAACACTTCCGCATAGTGTCCGGAGCACGTGTAGCACAAACAGGCGGTAGCATGCTATGCCCCCTGTACCTCGAATACGGAAGCAACTCTCATTTTACGGATGGGGACTGCAAGAATACGGCACTATTATACGGATGGAATACGAAATTTTACGGATAGCCCACGAGGGAATACGGAGCCCTGTCAGTAAGGATACGCAGCTTGTTAGACAATCGTAGGAGATGCGTCATATGATTTTGAACTCCACCATTTCGTTACATGGTCAGAAGCTGCATATGAGCCTAGTCCCTTCCTCCTTTTTACGAATGCTCACCACCATTATACGAAGGGACCACGCCCCTGGAAGCCCCACGCCCCCAATGCAATCCATAAGCTAGCTTACCATAGTCCAATATCTACTCCATTGCCTATCTATATCAAACATCTTGCCTACAGTCCCTGAACTAACCTACTCCAACGCCCCTGCAACGAAATAGGATCATGCACGTCAAAAATTGCAGGTAGATAAGAAGTATGGTCATGGGTATCAGGTTTGTGCTATCAAGTCATCCAAGCTTATAATAATAAATCATCCAAGCAATCACGGCCAAACCAATACAAAAGGTACACCACGTGAAGCCAACCCAACCCAACTTTGGATCACCTATCTACGAACCATGTTTCCACTCACAGCTACTCTATGCCCATTGCAAACAACCTACTCCCAGTCTGCCTCTATCTAGCGGTTAGCCCGCACACGCCGAGACTGGCCACTCGACCCAGTTCCTGCCTTGGGCACCTTTGCCGCCCCAACTGCTGCCTGCTGCTTCTTACCCCGCTGCTGCTGCTGCTCTAGTTCCTGCTGCCTACGGTCCTGCTGCCGGTTTCCGCCCGCCCGTTCGCCGCTGCTGCCACTGCTTCCACCGCCGCTGCTGCTGCTGCTGTCATCCGATGTATCCCGGACACTCACGTCATCCTCCTGCCCCTCCCCAGTAGACTCCCCGCTTGCCTCCTCGTCGTCCTCCATTTCCTCGTCACCCCCATCCTCCTCTTCTTCCGACTCAACCACTGCCGCCACCCTCCCCCCGCCCCTGCCGCCCCGCCCACGCCCTCTTCCACCGCCAACTTCTCCCCTCCCGCTACCACCACCACGACCGCTCTTCGCCACCTTAGCAGCCCCGGTCCGCTGCTTCTTCCTGCCACCACGGGCTCCGAGGTCGTCATCCAGACCAGACGCCCGCTGCCGACCCCGTGGCGCACGCTGCTGCACTGGCGGCTCGACACCAAAGACATCCAAGTTAATCAGCGCCAGATCCGGCTCCTCCTGCGGGACAACATGGGATAAGAAAGGGGCGGTTCAGCACATTGCACCCAATACCCGTTTCAAATGCTCAGAAGATGCGAGCTGTGTGAGCCATGCAGTCCTTAGCCAAATGTCTACCCACGAAGGCTTCACATTGACGTACCTCTTCGTCGCTGTGCGCTGTGGTGGCCGCCGCACCAGGCTGGGCCGCACCTTGATCCTGAAGAGCCCATTATAGGCAGCATGTAACTGTTAACCGCAAGCAAGCATACTCTCAAACAAGCCATGTGATTGTAAGATCAAGGTCACCAGAATAGTCCTTCCCACGGCTCCCCCCCCCCCGTATATGCTCACCAAGGGCGCGGCCACTCCCTCACCAGCACCTCCAGCACCCCCTGCGGCACCCGTCAACCCCGAAGAATGTACTACACACTGTACTAAAGAATGCACTAAAACTGTACTACACCGCCTAGTGCTGTTGTACAGCGCCCCCTGCTTACAATCCTGTCGGCCAACTATCTTGCCGGGCCCCGTTAACATGTTGCCGCCCCGCACTTACCCGCGAGCAGGTCCGTGTACGCAATCCCGTGCGCATTCGACATGTCGCTGAGGGTGACAAGGTGCCCACTGCCAGCATCCCGTGGCCAGACCCCGTGTGCGACTGCAGCATCAGGTTACATAGGGTAAAAGGCGGTGGTCGACAGGAACTAAGAATGGGCATGGTTGCAGGGGGTAGCATGCATTGCAATATGTATGGAAGTACACAGTAGGCAGCATGTAGTGGCGCCACCACCAATTGAGCCCCAAACCCGGCCTTACTCACCTTCTCTCACCAACGAGTTCTGGCCGTTCCTGCACTCAGCGTCAATTGCTTTGCAATACTGGATGCGCTGCGATTGGGTCACAGCTGGGTCCAGTAGCCCAGACACGGCCGTCTCCAATTTGCCAAATGTCATCGTGGCACTTTTTGAGCGGGTCGCCTCCGTTCCTGCTGTGACCCCCGTTGCATTGGTGAGGGTGGAAGGCGCTGCCCTTGCCGCCAGGTTGTCCGCCTGTACCCGGGTGAGCCTGTGCAAGGAGGTGCAGCGCCACGGTCACGTCACATAGGCCCATCACAGGTGGGTTTGCAAACAGCTAAGCCCCAGTGCCGGGAGATCGTTCCCATACACGTCTTGTCAGAGGAACATGTCGCACCAGCAAGCTACGCAAACATGGGCCTGCAATCCTGCCGAATCCCCCGTTTTATGCTTGTCGATCCGTATTATGACGGTGTAATTTCGTAAAGTGTCCCAAACCCCCTCCACACTCACCCGTCATATCCGGACTGCTCTGTTCCTGCCACACGGCACGCCTTGCTGTGGGAAAGTGTCCAAGTCACCATGCTGCCGTCCTCGTTAACGGCAAAGCTGCCGCATACTAGCATGGTGCACTTGAATTCCTCCAATGCCGCCACGACATCCGCGCGGCAACAAAAGCGCCGCAGGACATGGTCCTTAAGTACCAGAGCGATGCTAGCAACGATCCGCGCACTCTGTTGGCTCGCGCCACCCTCTGTGGGCGAACATTGACCAGCGACATTGTTAAACAGAGTCCTTACTGCAAGTCCGCATACAAGTGTTGCAACTGGAATATGTCCTACCTTCATAAAGGAAGAAGGTATCAGCTGAACCGTTTTGAAGAGCAGCCGCCAGGGAGTCCTCGGTCCATGGACACATGGCAAGCGGGAGCCTGTCATGCAGGCACGTTCCCTCCACGGACTTTGATACTATTTCCAGCATAATGTTCTTAGGAAAGGACGGAAGGTTGACGTCCATAGGAGCCGCGCCCGTCGCCAAGGCCATTGTTGACCTCACAAGCTAAATTCCTATTTACCAGTGAACATGACTTTCTATCGCAATGGTATAGTATGTCTAAATAGCTATGTGGATATGACTATGAAAGGAAGAGTCCGGGCGCAGTTTGAAGTATACTCGGTGTGGTACAGCATGTAAACTTACAAACCCCAGATTGCGATTCGCTAACTATATTGATATACATGATATACTGCAAGCAAGTATGACCATCTCGTGTAACTGGTGGACCTTTACAGGAATAGTGGGTGGCTGCAATGGGACATGCGGTTGTGCTTCCCTTCCCTTCCGCTGCTGGCTATCTGGCAAGGGGCAGGGGCAGCCCCACGTGGGTGGCTTTAATGGTTCCACTTCGTTCCCTTCCGTTCATCCCCTTCCGCTGCTGGCTATCTGGCCAGGGGAAGGGGGGACTGCTTAGGACCTGTGCTACCTAGATGTGGCTGCTATGCATGCATGCTTCCCTGTGCAATTCAGGGGCAGTGAGTGGCTGCAATGGGAAGTGCGGTTGCGCTTCTCTTCCCTTCCGCTGCTGGCTGTCTGGCCAGGGGAAGGGGGGACTGCTTAGGACCTGTGCTACCTAGATGTGGCTGCTATGCATGCATGCTTCCCTGTGCAATTCAGGGGCAGTGAGTGGCTGCAATGGGAAGTGCGGTTCCGGGGTTGCACTACGCCTCCGTTACAAACATCCGTGCATCCTGCAGTCAATGTTCCTTCTGCCCTGGGAGGGCCCTAGGATGGCCCGCGCCAGACTAGTACACCCCTCCCATTCACCGGTCAGTGAAGTGCGTGTACGGCATGAAATACATGAGGCCCTGCCGGTCGCCCTGCGGTGCGGCAATGCAGAATTTGCCCTTGAGCTCGCTCAGCGGAATGCCGAAGTCACGCCACATCTCCCAAGTGCTCCCACGCCCTGCTGTCGCGGCCGCATCCATGTCAACCACGACGAGGCCACCGCTAAACTCCTTGGCCGAGTACACGTCAGCAACCGCAAACCGCAACTCCTTTGCTGTCTCGTGACCTGGTAGGTGTACGAAGTACTTGAGGTGGGCCACATACGTACGTACGACCGTACGCTCGGCCGCGCCTGTACCTTCTGTCACCTCGGCCTTGTATGCCGCCCAGCAAGTGACCCGGCGCCGTTGTCGGTTGTATTCCGACCCGTGGTACATCTCTTCATCCGGCGCCTCGGCCCGCGAAAAGTGTCTTGCTTTTGGGGCCCCCGTTGGCTCGGCGTTGAGGACGCCGCCAAGCAGGTCCGCGTTTATGCCGTAACCCCGAGCTGCCCCAGCAGACCACGAACCGACGTCCGGGAGAGTAGTCGCGTACCACTTGACCATGCTTCCTACAGCAGTCTCCACCTGCTTGACCCGGGAGTCATCCTTATGCACCGCCGCACCAATGCCGATAAGGTAGCCATCTCCGCCCATGGTATCAAAGCGGGCGTCGTCCAGTGGTTTAGAACGCCGTCCCACCAGCTCTGCAAGCTGTTGTCGAGCAGTGGGGGCTTCACCGTTGGCGTCAGCGGCTGGTACAGCAAGTGAGTTGGCGTGGCGCATGAGACACAGCCATTGCGCGAAGTGCTTCTCTGGGGCCTGTGAGACCCGTCGGCCGCCCTGGCTCTTCATCTGCTGCATGACACGCTCCACGGGCATGTCGGTCATTGCAGACGTCGAGCCAAGCTCGGCCTCTTGGTGCGTGAACGAACGGGTGTGGGGCTGCCCACTATCATCCACCCAGCGCTCCGTCACCGCCATGCCATTCCTGCCCAAGCGCTTCAGGTCGTCCACTATAATCTTCATGTAAGGGTTAAGGGTGCTGGGAATCCGCGGCCCGGGAATGATGGCGATGACATGCTGGTTCCAGCTCTTGCCCTTGTCACGTGGATTGACGTCGGCGCACCGGATGAAGACAATGCCGACACTGTGCTGGGTGGAGTTGTAAGGGGTTATCCAGTCGATGCCAATGTCGTAAATGGAACTGTCGTGCTGGAAAATAACACCATCCTTGTAAGACCGCGCCCTGTTGGCCCAATCACCATGCCACATGGATGATCCCGGTGCGTCCTCGCCCCTAAAGTTTCCACGCTGCTTGCAGAATTCCGGGTTTCCAAAGAACTCCGACCGGATGACCTCCTCTACTCCAAAATATACGAACCAGCTGGCGGGCTCAGTAACTGTCTTGCCTGCATACATAGGAAGGTGGTTAAGACTTGCACATGCCTGTACATATGCATAACACCCCAGTGTACGCACCGCCGAGCTGAAGGGTCTTGTAACGCGGCTTGCCGCAGTGGGGGCACTCCATTTCCTGCGCGCTTCCATCGTTGGGTGGCTTCCCGAACAGGTGGCCGGTGCAGCGCTCATCACTGCAGACATGGTATTCGTACTCCTTCCAGCGGGGGGCACCGGAGAGCTCAGTGATCATGTAGAGGGACGTGCCAGCGCTCGTTATGACAGTTACAGAATAACCAGATAGGGCCGCTGTGGTGGAGGATGCGAGAATATTGGCGAACTGTCGTTAACTTGACACACAAAGTTTGTGTTCATGTTTGGTACGACAGCTGGATCGTCTGGGCTATTATTGCTTGGTAACTCGCTTTGCATTCCACTACTGTATTAGTTCCTTGTACATGTACATACGTAGCGTCCAGTGCGTGAACAGAGCCCAGCTAGAAGGCGTTGTTACGCACACATCGACAAAGAGCGCGTTCAACTTTCAAGGATAGTCGATTCATAACTTATATATACTAGACTATGCAGGTGTTTAGGGAGAAGGCACTGCTTGATGTCGCATACAAACAGGGCCGCCCATGCTTCAGCGAGGAAGCAACTAAGCCGGTTCTCAGCAGTGCATTATTTCAAGCGGAAAAGCTATCTCTTGTGGGGAAGCCGGGCTTCGAGGAGTTCAACGCAGCAAAGGAGGAGCTAATGGACGTTTTGACCGGGAGCGAATGCCCGGTGCAGCAGACTGTACTGGTACGTATCGACATGGTTATCATCGATACGAAGACTAATATGCATAAACTGTCGCCGTAAAGCATTAAGTAAGTTGTCGAGCATGGCTGGTGATGTTGGGGCATTGGCATTGGAACACGGACTCACGAGCTGCGTGGTATACCTGGAATGCATGGCCCTTGTTCGGTTGCTGTCCACCTACTGAATCAACCAACTAGGATCCCTCTTACCCGCCTGGGTACCTTTCCTAACCCACCCTACCTCCCTTGATGTTCCTCCCTCCTTCCCCCCCCAGTACGAGCCTGGAAAGGCAAGGGCTGTACACTCCGTGAAGGAGATCAGGGATGCTCCCCTTCACCAGCATCTAGCCGAGGTCACTGGCAGCATAGACGACGGCCTGATCAGATATTGCGGCAACCTGACCCTGGTGCATGCACTGCGGTATGGCGGTGGTGCGACACAGGGGTAAGAGGGGTTTATTCTGTGAATGTGGGGATGTGAGGGCTGCCGACCACGGCTAAGCATGCGTGCACCGTGGGAGAACAGAGGATGCTATTGTCAGTGATAACAGGGGATACTGCTGTCAGAAAGTACACAACTTACATACCCACGGTACCTCCATTTCTACCACCATTCCTTTACCTGTTCGCCACGGATTTTGAAGCATGCGCCTTCACCTCTCCTTGCCATCACCGGGGCCTACACAACCCCTTGCCAAACAGGCCAATCTCGGATGCCGAGGCGCTGAACCCAGGGCGAAGTGAGAGGGCGGAGCGGTTTGCCAGGGCATTGCGGGCCTCGCTACCACACCTGTTTGCTACAGACACCTATCTCGACCGTGCTGGCGTGGGGGCAACGGAGGTCTACCATGGGCTCAACACCGCGGTGTGCGATATGCTAGCAGGAAGCAAGTAAGCCTCGGGGGGGCGGGGAGTGGAGTGTGGAGTGGGGTGGGGAGGGATTCCACTATGAGTAAAAGCACTGGGATCTGGCGAAGCGGGTAATGGCGTCGTTTTGGGGCTGGCTGGGGTGCGTGTACGCAGGGGAGTAGGGCAAGGGAGTAGGGCAAGGGATATAAATGCATGGAAAAGAAACCGCTCCCATGGACTAGCTAGCTGAGAGGATCTATTACTATTCCTTTGTGGCTGTGCATCCCTGTAGGGCTCACTGACGGGGTCGCATGAGGATTATCCCATGGCGGCACCAAGTGTAATCGTAGTTCTCAAGGGCCACAAGCTTGTGTGGATCGCTCCCGGCTCGTTCCGCACCCTGATTGAGAACCCTAAGTACAAAAAGGCGGACATTGACCTGTTGGTGCGGTCCATGAGCACAGTGGACCCAGCGCTCCTAGCGTCTCTGTGCTCTGTGTTTGGCGGGGAGGTATTGGAGCTCAGAGACAATGAGGTCGGGGTGGTGCCGCCCTGCTGTGTCCATGCGGCATACAACGTGGATGCAACGGTATCCGTAAATTACACGGTTTGCAGCCAGGCGCAGTGGCTGGCCTGCGTGCAGGCGACTGCCTTGACCTGCCAGGAGGAACGTGCCGCTGCAGCGGCAGCGGCAGCTGCAAAGCTGGTCGGCAGTAAGGACGAGGGGCTCGTCCAGGAGTCTGCTCAGCGGCTGCTGCGGCGTGCTGCAGAGACCGGGGGTTCGGAGAGCTTCGAGGGGTGCGTGGTCCTTTTCAACAAGGGCTACATCGCGTGGATGGAGAACCGCATCAGGGCGGAGGTGGCAGTAGCAAAGCGCTGCAGGTACGTCTTTCTACACCTAGGATATGACGTGCTGTAATACTTGCTGTAATACTTTCTGCACGGTTACTTGTGTTGAGTTGTTTTAGCAATGGGGGAATTGCTATCTCCTGCGACACTCCTGCAAATTTTAGCGCATTGAGCTTTGCACTCCCTCCTGCGATCCGCCGTGCAGAAGGAGGAGGGTGGCATTGCCCGCATGGGTGAGGGCTTGACTGCTCTATACAAGCGCAGGCTGGATTCCACGGTGCGCATTGCCACCATCCGGTCTTTGCTGGAGGATGGAGGCGGGGTCAACTCTCTGCTGGCGACCGGAGCCACTGTCCAGTGGCGGCAAAAGATGTGCAGTTTGCTGGGGGGCATCGCAACACCAGCTAGCACGGCTCAGGCTGGCGGGAGCTCCAACAGCTCGGGAACCTGCGTGGAGAGCAAGCAGCGTGGGGAAGGCGGTGTGCGGGGTCGAAAGAGGAAGTGCATGGCCTAGGGGGAGGTGGCATGTACAATGCATGGGAGGCAGGAGTCATGGTAGGTCAGGCTAGGTTAGACAGGGTAGGCTAGGTTGGGTTAGGCTAGGCTATAGGTAGGGCAACTAGGACCTCGAATTTGCATTTTTGCAGGGAGTGTTACTTGTGTGTGCCGGGCCAAACATGGTGACTTGTGCATGCTGTGGTGCCGAATGTATTGTGTGCCAGTATCGTGTCACCACGGCCGCTTACAGCGGGTCCGCCGGCATGGCTTAGGCTTTAAAATGCTTTATTAGACCGCGTGCAGAGCTCGCGGGTGCACTGTTGGCGTGCGTAGGTGCGTGTGTGTGCAGGACCAAACATGACTTGACTTGTGCATGCTGGGCCTAAGGTACTTTGTATCATGCCAGTCTCGTGGCACCACGGCATGCAGACACGTAGGTATAGAGCAGTATGTATTGTAGGGTTACGCTATGGTTAGGTAGGCCTGTCCGTGCAGTGTATGTTAACTTAAATATTGGCAAAATATTGGCCATGCTGGCATGAGGGGCCGGTTTCTTCGTATGAGAGTCGTGTGGTGATGTGGTGGCGGAACGTGAAGTGACCTGCCATTGGGTGACGGGTCCTTCCGTGCTTTTCCCAGAGCACACTTTGGATGAGTTGTGTATGTAAGGTACCACCTGTCCATGCCGCATGGTACTAAATTTGCGTAAACCTGTCAGAACAATTTCATAAGGACTCCTGTAGCACGTCGTATACCTGCATTACACCTGTTCTCGGCTGGGGATACTCCGTATTATGGGCCAGTGCCAGGATACGGACGGGTGTCCCAATTTTACGAATCGTGCCAGATGGAATACGGAAAACAGGGAGTCAGAGTGCGTGTGTGCACATGTGTGCACTTTAGGTGGGGCGTGGATTTTAACACAATATAGGACTTAAATACACCCAGTGAGAGGGTTAGGTGCATGTCTGTGTGAACACCATTCGTAAAGCCCACATGGCCTAGAATACGAATGGTTTGGCCTAGATTACGAATTCTCCCCAAAATACGAACGCTCCGTTTTCCCAGAGTGCTGGTGTGTGCGTCAACTCGTGTATGAGCTTGTCGCCAACTAATTCACTATGACGTACATGCCGCACACACGCACGCTAAAGCACCATCTTCTCTCTTGCCAATAAGCTGGGCTGCGCACGTAAGTTGGGCGCTAGAAGGGGGGGGGGGGGGGGTAAGGGGGGGGGCGAAGCCCCCCCCCTCCAGCCGCACGTTGCAGCCTGGTGTGTGCGCCCATCTCGTGTCTGAGCATATTAACATACAATGTTGATGTAAAGAGTCTCGTTGAATTGCGATTCGTGGCGATTAGGCCAAAAACAAGAAAAACAAAAAATGTCATTTTGCAGCCGACGGGGTTCGAACCCGGGTCGCCCGCGCCAATCGCGATTTTTTGGAGCGCTATCCGCGCTAAGGACGTTACCAATTTTTGGTAGTTACGAACCCCCCCCTCTCTATTGGGCCCTTTCCTACGCTAACTTCGCTAGCTCCGGACTCCGTCTACGGCGTGCATGTATGGGTTGCATGGGGCGTGCGTGTGTGGGTTGCTCGGGACGAGGGGGCACGTGAAGCAGGATGCATGGGGCAAGTAATGTGGGAGTGCTCATGCGTTCGGCTGCATGTGTTGAGAGGGCGCTTGAAGCGGGAATGTTGAGCGTGTGTGGGCCGCACGGGATGAGGGGGCATGTACTGTCAGAGTGCTGGCATGCGTGTGTGCGTGGGATGCATGGGGTGAATAGGCGAGTAAAGCGTGCATGCGTGTGGGGGCTACAAGGGGACGTGTAATGTGGGAGTGCTTGCATGCATGCGTGTCTGAGTTGCATGGGGCGAGGGGGCACTTGAAGAGGGGGTGCGTGCAAGCGTTCGTGGGTTGCACGGGACGAGGGGGCGAGTATTGTGAGAGTGCTGGCTTGCGCACGTGCGTGGGTTGCATGGGGTGAAAAGACGTGTGAAGCGGGAGTGCGTGCATGCGTGTGGGGGCTACAAGGGGCGCGGGGACGTGTAATGTGGGAGTGCTTCCATGCGTTTGGGTTTGAATTGCATGGGGCAATGGGCGACTAATGTGGGAGTGCTTGCATGCATGCGTGTCTGAGTTGCATGGGGTGATGGGGTGTGTGAAGCAGGATTGCGTGCATGTGTATGCAGGTTGCACGGGGCAAGGGGACGATTATTGTTGGAGTGCTTGCATGCCTTCGTGCTCGGGTTGCATTGAGTGAGGGGACGAGTTGAGCGAGGGTGCTTGCATGCGTGTGTGGGCGGATTGGGGCGAGAGGGCGCTTTAAGCTGGAATGTGTGTGTGGGCTACAGGTGGTGAGGGGGTGAGTAAAGCGGGCTTGCTTTCATGTGTTGAGAAAACTGGCCGCGAGTAGGAACGTGCTTGCATGGGTGCGTATGTTGGTTGCATGGGGTGAGGGGGCGAGTACGGGGGTACTTGCATGCATGTGTGGGCTGCATGGGGAGGGAGGTGGGTAAAGTAAGAATGCGTGCATGTGTGTGTGTGTGTGTGGGGGGGGGGGGGGGGTTGCATCGGTTGAGGAGACCAGTTAGCTGGGGTGCTGTCCCGAGCACGACGTCCCTCTCAATCACCCTGCCACTCGCTGTCCCTAATCTACAAGGCGCTCCTGATGGATAGGACCCTCCTTCGGACGCGGCCAGCAATAAACAAGATGCTGCACCGCAGAAGGGTGCAAGGGAATGGGCGGGGGACAGGGGCGGAGGCAGGGGCGGGGCGGCAGTGTTTGTAAATGGCAAAGTAAGCGCGTGTTGGGGCGGGGAGGGGCGCACACTGATGGATAGGACTCTCCTTCGGCCGCGGCCAGCAATAAACAAGATGCTGCACCGCAGAAGGGTGCGAGGGCTGCGACACCAGCATGCTCACCTCGGGGCTGGGGCTCCTGCTGGGGGACCTGTGGTCGGCGCCTCTTCGCTCGGTTCCACTGCCGCCCGGCTTGCTTGGCAGCGCGAAGGGAGGCCTGCATGCATGGAAGCGGAGTGCTGGAATGGGCGGGGGAGAGGGGTGGAGGCCGGGGCGGGGCGGCAGCGTTTGTAAATGGCAAAGTAAGCGCGTGTTGGAGCGGGGAGGGGCGCACACTGATGGATAGGACACTCCTTCGGCCGCGGCCAGCAATAAACAAGATGCTGCACCGCAGAAGGGTGCGAGGGCTGCGACACCAGCATGCTCACCTCGGGGCTGGGGCTCCTAGCCTGCTGGGGGACCTGTGGTCGGCGCCGCTCTGTTTGGTTCGCTGCCGCCCGGCTTGCTTGGCAGCGTGAAGGGAGGCCTGCATGCATGGAAGCGGAGTGCGGGAATGGGCGGGGGAGAGGGGCGGAGGCTGGGGCGGGGTGGCAGCGTTTGTAAATGGCAAAGTAAGCGCGTGTTGGAGCGGGGAGGGGCGCACACTGATGGATAGGACCCTCCTTCGGCCGCGGCCAGCAATAAACAAGATGCTGCACCGCAGAAGGGTGCAATGGCTGCGACACCAGCATGCTCACCTCGGGGCTGGGGCTCCTAGCCTGCTGGGGGACCTGTGGTTGGCGCCTCTTCGCTCGGTTCCACTGCCGCCCGGCTCGGCAGCGCGAAGGGAGGTCTGCATGCATGGAAGCGGATTGAGGGAATGGGCGGGGGAGAGGGGTGGAGGCCGGGGCGGGGCGGCAGCGTTTGTAAATGGCAAAGTAAGCGCGTGTTGGAGCGGGGAGGGGCGCACACTGATGGATAGGACACTTCTTCGGCCGCGGCCAGCAATAAACAAGATGCTGCACCGCAGAAGGGTGCGAGGGCTGCGACACCAGCATGCTCACCTCGGGGCTGGGGCTCCTGCTGGGGGACCTGTGGTCGGCGCCTCTTTGCTCGGTTCCACTGCCGCCCGGCTTGGCAGCGCGAAGGGAGGCCTGCATGCATGGAAGCGGAGTGTGGGAATGGGCGGGGGAGAGGGGCGGAGGCTGGGGCGGGGCGGCAGCGTTTGTAAATGGCAAAGTAAGCGCGTGTTGGAGCGGGGAGGGGCGCACACTGATGGATAGGACACTTCTTCGGCCGCGGCCAGCAATAAACAAGCTGCTGCACCGCAGAAGGGTGCGAGGGCTGCGACACCAGCATGCTCACCTCAGAGCTGGGGCTCCTGCTGGGGGACCTGTGGTCGGCGCCGCTCCGTTTGGTTCCGCTGCCGCCCGGCTCGGCAGCGCGAAGGGAGGCCTGCATGCATGGAAGGGGAGTGCGGGAATGGGTGGGGGAGAGGGGCGGAGGCAGGGGCTGCTTCACCAGCGGAAATGCATTCACCCCCAATGTGACCAGGGAATCCTCATTGGGCTCCATATCCCATAAGCTTATATCTATATCTTCCTGCAAGGTTTGAAGTATCAATAGCCTCAATGGCGAAACAACACTTGTAACGGTCTTGATCTGGTAGGCTACATGCACTGGCATCTTAGCTCGAGTAGAGGACGCATGCTTACCTCCAGCATTACCCCATTTGAGAGTGTAGTACCCGTAGCCACGTCGACCGTGTCATGACACATGTTTCCAGACCTCCAGTCGGTCCCAACGGCGGAGGTAGGCGCGTCCTAAGGGGGCGTGTAAAGGGGCGTACCTAGGTACCCATGCCTACAGTGGGTGGAAGGGATACGTTACAATGCATGCTCACCTGGTGGGCTGGGCTCGTGCATTGCTGTGAGTTTGCTGCTGCATGCAGACTGGGCAAGGTGTTGTTTGCGAGGAGGGTGCAGTTGCTGCGCCATGCATGCTGCTGGATGCACCACCCAATGTTTGTGCCCGAAGCGCCAGTGAAACCGTGGGAGTGAAGCGTCTGGTCTGGACACTACTGGCAGCCTGAGCTGTGTCGCTGCCTGCTGCGAGCACACCCTCCAGGTCCTGAAAGCAAGCATACAGCTTAAGCATACACCCTTGAACCGAGTGCCCTGGCTGCAACGTTTGCAAAGGTATTCTTAGCTCACCTTCTTCTTCTTGAGCCAGGGCTTCTGCAACCAGAAATAGTCGCCTACAGCGCCTATCTCGTGGCCCTTAGGCCTTGTCAGCTCTACAAGGTAACTAACAAAGAGGAGCTGAGCTGCTGGGGCGCGCTTCTCCTTCTCCTCCAAGTAGTTACCCACAAACACGTCACCGCCCTTGTGAAGAAACGACCTGAACGAGCTCAGAGAGCTGACGTGGGATCCTAGGAGCCCCAACAAGGAGCATTCCTGTAAAGCATGACGGGAGGAGCTTAGCAGTCAGGACACACCCAGTGCTGCATTCCAGCAGACAGCTTGCCTTGTCGTCCACTGTTTTCAATTTCATGTTGTATAGGGCGCTCGGACTGGTACGTCAGGAACATTTGCCTGCCAGCCATCGAATTGGAGCGTCGCTCCCCTCCTCTGAAGCGAGACAACAGCTACTGTGCGATATAGCTCAACACAGACCAAGCTTTTTTCCCTCGTATACTGTATCAGCGTCGCCTGAGCCCTAGAAGCGGCATTGCGAAAACGAGTAACACACGATTCGAACGATGAAGACTGAATATCAACTAAGTAAGATATGTAAAGTTCTTCTATTAGTTGCTTGCGTATATTACATGTCAACGTATCAGGGGTTCATTCTTTGTCGTTCGAATCAGAGGACACTGCATGAAGTTAACGTCCTGAGGCAACACACGATGTATGAAATTGGCAGAACTCTTAGATGCTTTTTTGGTGGAAGGCTCAATACGGCAGGTTGAGCTTGTACGGCGTAACTCGGGTGACGCAGTACAGGACTTTTCAAATGCAAGAACTAGAGGCTAGAGTATGCAATAAAAGCATTTCAACCTCGACTATAGATACTTCTTTCGTTGACGAATTCATGTAGTATGTCCAAATGCCGCGGCGCTTAGGTCAGACATGGGCATTGCCTGCCACAAGTGGGCCCGCCACTTCCGCTTGGCAGGCTTGGCTGCTGGCAGGCCTTGTGGTTTCCTGATATTTGCAGTAACAAGTAATGCAAATGCGGTAGCCGTGACAACTAAGTATTGCTTGTGCAAGCGATGTGTAAATGGAGTGGTCGATCGAAAGGCCGTGAAGCTCAGGTCAAACAGAATGGTTCGTAACCACCTCAAGAGAAATGGTTGCTACGATCCACGTTACAAAAGGATGGAAAGCAGCACCTCGGCTGAAGAGGTCCGAGCCCGTTGTTTTCAAATTTGTCATGGTAAGTACCAAACAACACCAGCATGCAACTTGCTATCGTTTCTTACATGCTTGCTCGCTCATTTGGCAAATGCGGTGGCCCAACATCTTCACGTAGACACTGCCATTGACTCCTTTGGCTCGCCCTGTCCTTATATTGGCTAGATATACTTGTATCCATGTGCATGTGACTCAATTATGACTTTCTAAATCAACAATGTATGTAAATATTCTCAGACCCAAGCTGGGCTTACAACTTAGGCTGCAACTTGCGGCTGGAGGGGGGGGGCTGCGCCCCCCCCCCCTAACCCCCCCCCTCCTTAGCGTCCAGCGTAATCGTGCAGCTGGCGACAAGCTAAGACCAGCCGCAGCCCGGCTTATTGGCCAACGAAAGGCTAATGTTGTAGCGTGCGTGCGGCTGGCTCGTTATTGCGCATCAGTTGGCGACAAGCAAAGACCCAAGCTGGGCTTACAACGTAGGCTGCAACTTGCGGCTGGAGGGGGGGGGCTGCGCCCCCCCCCCTACCCCCCCCCCCCCCTTCTAGCGTCCAGCTTAATCGTGCAGCTGGGCTTATTAGCAGACGAAAGCTTGGTGCTTTAGCGTGCTTGCGGCTGGCACGCTATAGCGCCTTGGTTGGCGACAAGCAAAGACCAGCCGCAGCCCGGCTTATTGGCAAACGAAAGGCTGGTGTTTTAGCATGCGTGCGGCTGGCACGTTATAGCCATCAGTTGGCGACAAGCAAAGACCCAAGCTGGGCTTACAACTTAGGCTGCAACTTGCGGCTGGAGGGGGGGGGCACGTTGCAGCCTGGTGTGTGCGCCCAACTCGTGTATGAGCTTGTCGCCAACTAATTCACTATGACGTACAAGCCGCACGCACGCACGCTAAAGCACCATCTTCTCTCTTGCCAATAAGCTGGGCTGCGCACGTAAGTTGGGCGCTAGAAGGGGGGGGGTTAGGGGGGGCGAAGCCCCATCCCCCCCTCCAGCCGCACGTTGCAGCCTGGTGTGTGCGCCCAACTCGTGTATGAGCTTGTCGCCAACTAATTCACTATGAGGTACAAGCCGCACGCACGCACGCTAAAGCACCATCTTCTCTCTTGCCAATAAGCTGGGCTGCGCACGTAAGTTGGGCGCTAGAAGGGGGGGGGGGGGGGTTAGGGGGGGGCGAAGCCCCCCCCCCCCCCTCCAGCCGCACGTTGCAGCCTGGTGTGTGCGCCCATCTCGTGTCTGAGCATATTAACATACAATGTTGATGTAAAGAGTCGATAACGTAATTTGATAACGTAATTTGGTCGTTTGCGGCACGTATGGCAGTCAGTGTGAGACATCGTTGTCAATGCTGGACTGCAAGCAGAAGTGTGAATGCCGTACCAGAAAAGCGACATCAGACGTCGTCTTTTAGGAGGACATTGTTTGCCGAGTTATGCCAACAGCACAACCAGCTATGATACTCCTGCGAGTTTTTTTGTTACCTTCAAGGCTGTGGTAAAGCGAGGAGCGCATTCCTTTTTCCTTACACCCTTGCACTACTTAAGCCCACAACCTCAGGCATATCGTGTATCGTGTATCGTGATATTGTCCAGCCACCCCAACAATCAGAGAACTGAGAAGGGTGCACGCAACAGTCGGAAACTTGCGGCTGGGGGGGGGGGGGGCTTTTTACCCCCCCATACCCCCCCCCCCCCCCCGGGCCCTTCACTGTCCTTTGCTTGTTGCCATTTCATTCGCTATGACGTACAAGCCGCACGCAGAATGGGCGAGTAGTGTGGCATTGCTTGCATGCATGCGTGTCTGAGTTGCATGGTGCGAGGGGGCGCTTGAGGCGGGTGTGCGTGCATGCGTGTGTGGGTTGCACGGGACGAGGGGGCGTGTACTGTGAGAGTGCTGGCATGTGCGCGTGCGTAAGTTGCATGAGGCAAAGGGGCGTGTAAAGCGGGGGTGCCTGCATGCGTGTGGGGCTAAATGGGGCGAGAGGGCGCTATAAGCTGGAATGTGGGCATGTGTGTGTGTGGGTTGCAGGTGGTGAGGGGGTGAGTAAAGCGGGCTTGCTTGCATGTGTTGAGAAAACTGGCCTCGAGTAGGAACGTGCTTGCATGGGTGCGTATGTTGGTTGCATGGGGTGAGGGGGCGAGTACGGGGGTACTTGCATGCGTGTGGGAGCTGCATGGGGAAGGGGGGGGGGGGTTAAGCAAGAATGTGTGCATGTGTGGGGGGGTTGCATCGGTTGAGGAGCCCAGTTAGCTGGGGTGCTGTCCCGCGCACGACGTCCCTCTTAATCACCCTGCCGCTCACAGCCCTTTCCTCGATGTCCCTAATCTATAAGGCGCTCCTTGCACTCGTCCTTCCGCATGTACAGGTCCTCCCAAGGGCTTCCCAGCACACAGCGCGCCTCACACGTGCACTTACTCACACAGCGCCTCCAACTTGGTCTCTTCCACCTTATACGGCCAACTGGCTTCTGACAGCGTAACAATGCTAACGTATTTCTTTAAATGTTTCGCTGGACATACTTGTATCAGTGACTCCATCCCTGGGAGTCGGGCTGAATCGCACTCGCCTGTGGTGCTCTTCGGCGTGGGCCTCCTACGTTACTTCGGCGCTACAAAGCAAGGTTACCAAATTTTGCAGCTTGATAACGTATTCTGGTCCTTTGCGACACGCATGGCAGTCAGTGTTAGACACCGTTGTCATTGCTGGGCTGCAAGCAGCCACTTTAATCCATTATACCATTAGACTGTATAAATGCTATGTAAAACGCCTTTGTTTTTTATGTGGATGTAGTGGTTGTCGAAAGTACCTTTCGCATTGCGGTGTGTGAAGGTCTGGTTTGCCGTTCAATCGTCTGTACCCAAGCTATGGCGTGAATGTGAATACTTACCGTTCTCTTCTTCGGCCACTCAACTTTGTCGCTGGAGTATAAGGGCAAGTAGTTAGAATGCCGTACTAGAAAAGCGACGTCAGACGTCGTCTTTTTGAAGGGCATCATTTGCCGAGTTATGTTAACAGCACAACCACCATTGATACTCCTGCGTGTCTTGTTTTTTGTTACCTTTCAAAGCTGTGGAAAAGCGAGGCACGACATCCTTCTCCTCCAGCCGCAAGTTGCAGCCTGGTGTGTGCACCCAACTCGTGTATGAGCTTGTCGCCAACTAATTCACTATGACGTACAAGCCGCACGCACGCACGTTGTACGGCTGGGAAGGGGGCTTGGGGGGTAGGGGCTAGGGGCTTGCACGGCTCGGAAGGGGGCTAGGGGGGTAGGGGCTAGGGGCTTGCACGGCTCGGAAGGTGCTAGGGGGAGTTGCCATTTTTCGTTTGTGAGGTAAGCTTGTTTTACGGTACCATGCTGAAAGGCATGAACCCAGGTATGATTAGGTTTGCAAAGCGCGGCCTGGTGAGCAAGTTTGGGGAAGAAGTTCGGAAATTTGGCTTGCCATCAGGAGGCAATATCTTCCTGGCGCCGCAGCATTTTCAGGCGCGGTTTGCTGCTTATTAATGCAGGCTCTATGGCAATGATATTTGCCTAAATGGCGGTAGGTTAAACGCCCCCTATGCAAAAGCACGCGAGAGGTAGGGCCTTCCCCCCTAGGCCCTTCCCCCCTAGCCGTGTTCCCGTTTGGCGGCGGCTGCAAGGCTTAGGGGGCAGGCGGTTGCGTCTGATGGCCCTCTAGGCGCAGGTGCTAGAAACCGGCAAGCGGCAGGAAAGCGGCAAA